GCAGCACATGATGTCATTTTCTACGAACGTCTCACCCTCCCAACGTACCTGTACAACCTGGAAACCTCACGGGATGTCACAGGCGGATTTCGTGGCTACCGGGCCTTCGCTTCGGCAAAAGATGAAGCTGACCTGGACGAGCTGACCATGGACGGAGCTTCGGAAGAAGCCGGACCTCTTCCCTACTGTTTGGTGGACATCCCAATGGATGACAACCCTCGTGAGAGCATCAACGCCGAAGTCTTCTACGACTTTGCCGACACTAGTTACGTTACACCCGCCCGAGTCAACACCAACGAAGCCGAACGCATAGGACCCAATTTCTTACCTGACCCAGAAGCAGGTGACGAAGCAGCTTATCCCGAGGACACAACTCTCCCCCGCTACACACAGAGCGGACTGCAGATACTTGGCCTCGTCACCGCAGTCCACGGCTCGGCGCCACCTAAGGAGCCTGCCACAGTTCAGCAGGCTCTGGGGGGGGAGCATAAGGAAAAATGGCGCAAAGCCATGGACAGGGAGTTGAAGGCGCTAGAAGAACGCAACACCTGGAAAATTGTTCCCATTGGCGTGGCTCGCAACAAAACGGTACTCACCGGAAAATGGGTTTTCCGTGTGAAAACCAAAGCAGACGGCACCATCGACAAGTTCAAAGCACGCTGGGTCGTACGCGGCTTCGACCAAGAGCACGGACGCGACTTCACCGAGACATTCGCGCCGGTCAGCCGACACACCTCCCTACGGATTCTCTTCGCGATAGCCGCTATGAAGAAGAAGAAACTACGTCAAATCGACGTCGCCAACGCCTTCCTCTACGCATCTGTTGACGCTGAGATCTTTGTCGAGCTACCACACGGCTCCAACGGAGATCCTAACCAAGTCTGTCAACTACTGAAGTCCCTATATGGCATTAAGCAGGCTCCGAGACTGTGGCAGCAGTATCTACACGTTCGACTCATCCGCATCGGATTCCGCCAGCTACCACACGACCAGGGCATGTACCGACTCACAAAGGGCACTGACTACATTCTACTCATCGTCTACGTAGACGACCTGCTTTACATCGGTTCTACCGACGGCATCACGACCTGGTTCGAAGGGGAGCTGCAGCAGGACCTCACGCTCACGGTTTCGTCTACCGTAACACAATACCTCGACCTCAACATCCACGAAGAAGAAAACACGATCTACCTCAGCGCCGCGAAATACGCCGATACCATCTATAAGCGCTTCGGACTCACCCCAACTACTATCTCCACACCATATCGCTACACCACCGGAAGTCACAAAGAAATCTCCGCTCTGCTCAAGCCCACCGGCATACGCGACTACCAACGAAACTTAGGGTGTCTGCTCTTCGCAGCCGTCACCTGCCGACCGGATCTATCGTACTCTGCGAGCCAACTCACCACCTACCTCAAGAAACCTGAAGCAGAGCACATGGCGGAGCTCGATCGCGCACTACACTACCTCGTCAGCACCCCGACGATCGGACTAACCTACCACAAGAACGGAACTATGATGCCTAAGCTAATCGGCTACGTTGACGCTGACCATGCTGGCGACTCTGACAACAGGCGCTCGCGCACCGGCTACATCTACCGACTCGAGCCTATCGGGCCCATCTCGTGGCAGTCGAGCAAGCAGGAACTAATTGCTCTCTCCTCAGCTAAAGCATAATATATTGCACTCTGCTCAGCCACCAAAGAAGGACTGTACCTTCACGAACTGCTGGAAGAGGCGAAGCTGGCCCAGTTACCCAGCTTCTCCCTGTTCTGCGACAATCAGTCAGCGATCCGCATAGCAAACAAGAGCGGATTTGCGAACAGAACGAAACACATCGCACTACGATATTTCTTCGTGAAGGACGAAATCGAGAAGGGGAGACTCGAGCTGTCCTACTGCCCCACGTCCGAGATGGCAGCTGATTACTTGACCAATAAGCTCGGAAGTCAGAAGTTCGAGTACTGCATGCTGCTGACTGGACAAGGCCACGTCACCAGCAACGACACTCCAGAAGCGAAGGGGAGTGTTGGAAACAAGTGATTTAAGCGCTTCTGGTGTGCTGAAACACTAAGCCGTAAACGAAGCAAAGCACAACGAAGCATCATCGAGTCAACTATCGGAGGTTGAAGAAGAAAGGTAACTTCTGGAGGTTACGCGAAAGTCAAAGGTCAGCGACCTTTGACCTGACAAATACAGCGCGACAGCAATGACAAACAACTGACTCGTTATTGAGCAGTTGCCCGAGTCGTCACCGTATCGAACCGCAACAGCAACAGTAAAACGGTTATTAGCTGTATCTCTTCATATTCCTTGTACTCTTATAAAAACCTTGTATCTCCTTGTTTTAATGAATCTACTTTGCCTTCACATACCAGCGCAAGGTGGTTCAATACTTCTCATTAAACGCTTCCGCAACTACAACATTCCTACTCTGAGTTTAGCCTTGCAAAGATCCTAAGGGCTTTTCTCAGCCCAACAGTGCTAAGGGGCGGGGCGATTCGGGGCTAGGCTAGGAACTCACTTACTCGTGATACCATCTTAATAACCTACTAGCTTGAGTAGCGAGAGAATGGTCATACTATGTCAAAGGGAGGGATACAACCAAAATGTCGATAAAGATTTGTTCCCCCTAACATCCAACTCACTATACCATATATAAGTCTTCATAGTTTGACAGAAATGTATACGCATACAAATATCGATCTTCAACTGATCGTCAGGTCGCTCACCGTCGCGGTTCATTGTGCTCTCGTGACGCGCGGGTGTGCACCGTGTACACATCACATTCACAGGCACCTTGGTACTCGTGCGTTTGAGAGACATCATTCATGGATGTCTGCTTACATAAATGCACCCCCTGTGTTGATCAAAGTGCAGTCTTGAGAAACCAAACATGGTAGAAATTGCTAAATATAAAGCTTGAATAAAAGAAGCTTATACCAAACCTCGCATAAGCAGTGCCCCATGACTTCACCAGTATGCTTATCAATTTTTGCTGCTCCATTAAAGATGCTGAAAGATTATAAGGTAACATTTGTACTGAAGCACTTGATGTAGTAAACAATAAAAGCTATCATTGAGACTGTAGACAACACTGTACAAGACCACCTGACAAGAGTTCTGGTAAGCAATGTTGCCAAAAGCAGTTGAACCGTCCCAGATTGTGACGTGTACGGTTCGTGTCGCGCAAGCTTGATGCAACTGTACTGTATCACACGCTGGATTCGATTCTGGCACAAATGACTCCTCTAAACAAGTGCCTATTACGGTTATTGGCCAATTTGATAATGGAACATTCGAATCGCACCATCTGCTCCCGAGTCGCATGTGGTTCCAAGCCCCTTCGCGATTCGGGCTGCACACCACGTACTCAATTTCCCTGCCAAAGCGCTGTGGTGGCGCGTGGGATCAGCATTCTCCCATCGAATTCAAGGATGAGAGGTGGTGCCAAGCCGAGTGAAGGTAGGCGAGGTAGGGAGCCATCAGCGATTCCAATGGTTCGAACCTGTCTAGTTGTCTACGCTCTACCGAATTTCCTCCTTCCCCCAACCACAGAACAGAATTCACAAGCAATACCGAGCGACTGCTCCACGCCCTTGCAAGGATGCTTCCACGGTATGATGTGATGCGCGCAGATCCTTTCTCGCTTCGCATCGATTCCCATGCACAAGCCGCCCGCGCCCGACCGAGATACATCGAATGCAGGCCTGTCGCTTGCAGGGCGTTTGCCCTGCTGGACCTTGAATTCCAGGGCTGGGTTGCCCTTGAAACCTGAAATTGATGGGTTGAAAATTTTCTGGCCCTGATTCCTTACAGGGCTGATTTCGGGCTTAGGCCTGGAGTGTTAAGGGTAGATTTTGGGCGAGCCCTGGAACAAATTATTTCGAACCCCACCTCCCACCCCTTCCCCCCCCCCCCACCCCCCCACAAACTCCTCCACTCCCCCTCCCCCCGTTTCTATCTTGATTGCATTAAAACCTGGCAAATCTGGAGTTGCGTGGCTGGGCCACAGATTCAACTCAACCTACAACTGGTACTTGCGCCAATCACAACCTCGCTCCCATCCCATGACACAGGCAGCAGCATGAATCAGCATAGCAGCAGCAAAACACATCTCAGATCCCCGTCGTGCAGTGCACCAGCAGGCATGAATCAGCATAGCAGCAGCAAAACACATCACAGATCCCTGCTAAGAGTTGGAAGGGGAGGAGGTCTCTTAAGCGTGCGTAGTGAATGACGCTTACTAGTTTTTTATGTAGTCTCAGCTTTTTGTAATACTTGCAGAGTGCAGCTATTACCTTTGTGGTAAAAATGAGGCTGCAGAATTTTCGCGCCAAACCTGATTTACAGGGAGGAAATTTTTTCAGCCCTGAAGCCTAAAGGGCCGAGATTCGCCCCTACCCTGCTAAATACAGGGTCGTACATGCTGGGCCCCCTGATTAGTCCGGGGGCCCCAAAACGAAACGACAGCCCTGATCGAATGCAACCAGCTGCCGTCCTTGCTGTTGATCACCACACCATCATCGCATCCCTCGAACGAACTGTGCCGCATCGCGCGCTTGACTAGTTACTTCCACAGCTGCTGCTGAACTGTCAAGACTCAAGAGTCCAAATCAGATAGGACAATGACGAGCGCAGACGTTCGTCCCGCCCACAACATCTGGGAAGGCTTGTAGGTGGATCCCGTATGCCAATTAAGGTTGTAAGGTTGTAACCTGGTAGTACAGATAACGACCTCCCATTCTATTCTGATCACTGCACCTGGAGCATCAAGAATACTCAATAGTCTCTCAACTGACGCCCACATCCGGGAACCGATCAGCAGCGAACACAGTCACGCGCGGCCAGAAGCTCCTTCCAGAACACCTCAGTGTTGTTGAGGCGCCTCAGTATTACCCTCGAACGGCTAGAAGATCCTTCCAGCTCCCCTCTTGAAGCGCGCTAACCCGATGCCTTCACTTGCCCTATTATCAGCACCAGCGCGAGCGCGATCCATGGATCCCGCTACCGCACCTCGTGCCGCTCTTTGCTTCGGCCTTCTATTGGCCATCTTGCTCCTTTCCGCGTTCCCAGCTTCACGCGCACAAGGTACGGCCTGCGCTTGCCTGCACCTGCGTTCGAAGGTCCACACGCCTGCCCTCTTTAGATGAGCGAATAACATCTGCGTCGGGATGTGACAAGAACACGCTTGCTCGGGGTTTCGGGAATTCGGGGTGGCTGTTGTCCTCTTCTTTCGCCGTCCTAGTCTTCTAGACCTTCCCCCCTCCCTTATCGTCCCTGCCAACTTGTCCCTTGCATGACTCTTGAACCTTCCCCTTCTTCCCCAATCCCCTCCCCGCTTTCCCCTTTCGACACACACAAATCCTCCCCCTTTCTTTTGCAGAGTTTCCCAGTTCTGTATTATCCTCTGAAGACCAACCCAGCGCTCCCAACTCGTTTCTCTTCCCCACTTCAACCTTTACTCCCTCCTCTTCCACATCGTCCTCCTCGAACTCCTCTTCACCCTCTTCTTCCTCCTCCTCCTCGTCCCCCTCCTCCTCCACCTCTCAGCGCCTCTCATCCACGCGTCAATCCGGCATGTTTCCCAACAGCAACGGCAGACAAACCACTATAAACGGTCAAACCGACGGGTCTACAAGCAAGCCCGTTAACCGCTTCAAGACCGGACCCATCAGGCGGAGCCCGCCGCAAGCGCAACCGTCCCCGAACCCAACCCCGAATCCCTCCCCACGACCCTCCCCCAATCCGTCCCCGAAGCCAGTCCCGTCCCCCCGGCCCAAGCCTCCCACCGTACCAACGCCGCAGCCTACAATACCGTATCCAGTTCCGCCAGGGGGGGGTGTCTGGTCGGGACCTGGGCGCGGGGCGGAGTATCTGGTGAAGCTTCCGCCGCTGGCGCCCCGCCAGCAGTTCAACGTGCGCCGGTTCGGCGCGATGGGGAATGGCGCGAAGGACGATACCCGCGCGTTTGCCGCCGCGTTCGCCGCGGCGTGTTCGTTCGGGCGCGCGCGGAATGTGGCGACGGCGGTGGTGGTGCCGTACGGGTGGTATTCCGTGACGTATCTTGAGATGGAAGGGCCGTGTGGCCCGCGCATGGTCTTCAAGGTACGATCGCTGCCCTATGCTGGTCCTTCACATACTATCGTACGTACTTGATCGTACGTATGTTACAAACCTCCAGATGTCTCACCTTAGTGCTGTGCACTAGTTGAACCAAGAACCCAGGTGCCGAATCAAAACCTCCCCCACCTCCCCCTGCCTCCCCGCTCCTCCTCCCCCGCCCCATCTTCTCCGCCTCTCCACCCGCCGCCACAGCTCGACGGTGTGATTCTCGGTCCGGCAGGCCCGTTCGTGGCGCCCGTGCGGGCCGCGGTGGTGTCGTTTAGCTCCATTCCGTGGCTCATTGTGTCGGGGCGCGGCGCGATCGACGGGCGCGGCGCGAACTGGTGGCGCATGTGGGAGGCGGGGCAGCTGAAAGTGGACCGTCCAATGCTCATGACTGTGTACCGATGCAACAACTCCGTGATCCAAGGGATCACGCTGCGGTAAGAGCGCCTCTTTTTCCTCTAAACGAGTATCAATGGCGTGTTGCCCGTACGTAGCTCGTTGTACAGCCAAAGACCAGCGCTTTGAACTGGCCCATATCAGCCGCCGTGTGGCATATGTTTCTGCCCGCCCCACAACTATTTTCGCCATATCGTTCCCCTCACTCCACTTGCCCCGCTGTTTCCCTGTTCGGTTCACTACGCCCGCCCACCAGTAACCCGGGCACGATCCACCTCAAGATTTCGCGAACGATAGGCTCCGTCGTAATCAACGTGACTACAACGAGCCCCGCCAACTCGCCCAACACGGATTCCATCCATATATCCGCCAGCCGTGGTGTGACTGTAAAGAGGTGCACGCTGCACGGAGGAGATGACAACGTGGTGATTGAAGCGGGGTCCAACAGCGTGCGTGTGGAGGACACGTGGTGCATTGCAGGCCATGGGATCAGGTGAGAGGACGTGGCACGAGCATGACACGTGCACTTGGCCCAAACCGTCCCACTGTTACGCTTTCACCAATAGCTGCTCCTGGCTCTCCTTGAGCCTTTCTTCTCTGTTCTTAGTTGTCTCTCATTCTCTCGTCCTCACCCCTCTTCATCTTCGCCACTCTCCCCTCGTCTGATCCCTCCCTCCACCCCGTTCACCGTCCTCCCCCCACTCTCCCCACTCACCAGCATTGGCAGCCTGGGCGACATGGGGAGCACAGCGTGCGTGCAGAACGTGGTGATCAAGAACGTCGTCCTAATGGCCCTCTCCAACGGCCTCCGAATCAAGACCTACCAGGGCGGATCAGGCTCCGTCTCCAACGTGAGCTACAGAAACGTGTACATGGTGAACGTCCGGCGGCCAATAGTCATCGACCAGCATTACTGCGATCGTAACTCCGTGTCTCATTGCGAGGAATCCTCCCAGCACGCCGTGGCTATATCCAACGTCTCGTACTCGAGGATAATCGGTACTACGGACTACACGGAAGGGCTGTACCTCAACTGCTCGTCTACGGTTCCCTGCCGCGGCATCACACTTAAAGATATCAACATCACGTCGTCTGCCTCGCCACGGACGCCGCTACGGCCCAAGATTGCGCATGTGTTTGGGGGGATACGTAGCGTGGTTGCGCCGAGACTGCTCCCACAGCAGATACCGATGGGCCCTGTGCCGTTTCAGGAGCTTGTGGCGGCACAACGCATGGCCAGCCTCTGCCGGTGAGTGAGGGTGGGAGGGAGGAAGATGAGGGGAGGGGGGTGGGGACAGAGGGGGCTGAAAGGGGATATGGCGGCAAAGGACATGGGGGAAAGGTTGTCATTTATCCAAGCATGTTGAAACTTTGATTTGCCTCTTTTTCTGCGAACGGTTTACATCTTTTGCTTGTGCTCGTTATCAATATGTGGATGTGCAGGATGGTATAGTACTCTGGGGCTTTGCCTTCAGCGGTCAACTAGACAACATGGGCGCAAAACTCTTGCCAGTATATGCACATCTATCGCTAGATAGAGTGGCACCTGCTTGCTCTCTGTAGGCCATATCCTTGTACCACCACATATGGTGGTTTGCATATTTATGAAGACCAGCTTTTAAAATACCACAACAATTTATAGGTTTTCTTTGGGCTATCCACGCTCCAGCAGTAGGGCCCGCGCGCGGCCCGTACAGCCTGCGCGCGGCCCGTACGGGCTGCGCCAGGCCCGCGCGCGGCCCGTACGGGCAGCGCCAGGCCCGCGCGCGGCCCGTACGGACTGCGCCAGGCCAGGGCGCGCCTCGGGCCGCCCGCACGCGGTTCGTACGGGCTGCGCCAGGCCCGTGGGCGCCCTGTTTTCTCTGCCCCTGCGCTGCCCGCTGTCCCCCGTGCTTCTGACGGCGCCCCACCCCTGCTGCTGCCCGTTCTCCTGAATTAGGGTTTGGGGGTGGGGGGTATGGGGGTGCAGTTTCTGTGCGTCGTCCCCTACTCCTCCTCCTCCTCCGTCTCCCAGTGCTGCAGCTGCCGCTGAGGGGGGTGGGTGTGTGGGAGCCGAAGGAGTGGTACTAGGGGGGTGACGTGCAAGTGGAGTTAGGAGTGAAGCAGTGGGTGTGTGGGGGGTGTGTGGGACAGTTGGAGGAGGTTGAGCGGAGGCTGCTGTCTTGTCGTCCGCAGCACCTGTAGTCCGGGGCGCACTGTCCTGGTAGCCCAGAGAGTCTGCTGCGCCTGTCGCCCGAGGGTCCGTTGCTCCTGTAGCTCGTCGTAGCCCGTGAGCCAGTTACTCCAGTAGTCCGGGGCGCACTGTCCCGGTAGCCACTGTGCCAGCAGCTCCTGTTGCCCGTGTGTCTGCAGCTTCAGCCGCCGTCTCTCATCTTTTCTCCTCTCACAGTTCCTCCTCCTCCTCACTTGCCCGCTGTGATTACCTCTAGCTTTGCTTCTTATTGTGAACTCCTGCTATACCTGCTCATTGTGCTGATTACACCCCACTTTGGCTATGGGGGTATGTCAGAATGTTGTATTTGTCTAGCCTGCAGTGGGGTACTCTATAGCGAGTACAGCCCAATCTAGGGTTTCCTATATGTACTCAACTGCTTGCTAGTGAACCTCCTCCTTTCTTCATTCTTACTTTCTACTGCTAGTTCTGACAGACCAGGCCGATGCGACGCTCGGCTACCCCGTTCTGCTGCGGCGAGGCTGGTAGCGTGTACGACAGAATGACTCCCCGACCCTGACAGAACGTCTCCAAACGAGTGGAAGAAAACTCACCACCATGATCCGAGTGTAGGCGAAGCCCACACAGACCCTGGGCACCACCCCACGCTAGTAGCCACGGCTCGAGGACGGTAGGCACGTCGGCCTTCCGTCGCAAGGGGAAAACCGTGGTGTAGCGGGAGTAGTCGTCCACCACAATCATGAAGTAGCGCTCCTGACGTGGTCCAAGGACCGGGGAGGGGCCCCAGACGTCCAAGTGCAGGGTCTGGAAGGGAGCCGTGGTAGGGGGGAACGAGGAGGAGTGAGGGGCAGCGCGCTGCCGACCCTCGACGCAAGGAGTGCACAGCGGCGCAGGCGAGCGAGGAAGCGGGGCAAGCGACTCTTGGAGACCTGAGACCAGACGGTAACGTGCCATCCTACTGAGACGTGGGAACGACGGGTGACCTAGACGGTGGTGCCAGAGGACAGACGGGTGGGTGAGGGAGCGACAGTCGCACGACACAGCAGCTACCTGACCTGACCTGACCTGGCCTGACCCAGTGCGGTGGGACCCAGTGTGTAGTGAGTACAGACCAGAGCCCGGCTCTCTGTGAAAAGTGGCCAGAGGGGCCCCAGTGGTACCGATTGTGCAGGAGGCAACAGGCTTGTCCAGTGGGAAAGTGGTGACTACACCTAGGTCGTGGAGGTGACTGACACCTACCAGGTTCCTAGAGAACGAGGGGGTGTAGTAACCTGTAAGAAAACCTGGGGGAGCCGCCGGACACGGAAGAGTGGTGGTGCTGCGAGCAACTACACGTCCCACAGAGGGGTCAGCCAAGGCGACAGTGACTGGAGTGCGCAGTGGTGTGAGGTCAGTACAGTCGCGAAAGAAACAGCTAGACGCTCCAGAGTCTAGGGTGAAGGAAAGCTGTGCAGTCTGTGGGGTCGCACCCGAACCAGCTACAAAGGCTAGTGCTAGACTAGTGGTAGCTGCAGCTCCTACACAAAGACCCTCAGAGGCGCCTAGACTGGAAACAACACACGCACCAAGACTGGAAACACAGGTCTCTACTCGTGCAGCCAGGAAAGGTCCTAGACCAGGTAGGTGAGACTCAACTAGTGCAGCTGTGCGCTGGCGAAGTCGCGAGGGCCAGTGCGGTGTAATAGCGTGAGGACCAAAACGCTCACGGTGGAGGTCGTAAAGTCGACGGTAGCAGCTGGACGCAGAGTGATCAGGACTCCAGCAGGTAGTGCCAGCACCAGGGCCTGTCAGGGCCCGGTACCCGCAAGGGCCGACGTCTCGCCCACTGCTAGCTGAGCCACTGCTGAGGGCTCCACACTTTGGACCCGCAGGTCCCTACTGCCGGGAGTGCTGCGGCTGGCCCTGCTGCTGTAGAACTCGAGTACAAGCCATGTGAGTAGCTAGAAACGGGGGTGGTGTTGGTAGGTGGTCCTAGACTGCTGCTGGCGGTAGGCTATCCTGCTGCTGGTTCCACTGGGGGCAGCCAAAGCTGCTGCTGGTGCACTAGCGGTAGCCTAAGCTGCTGCTCGAGCGATGGGGCAGCCTAACCTGCTGCTACTGGTGCTGCTGGTGGCGGGTTTCAGCCCTTGAGGCGGAGGATTCAGGTCGTGGGGAGGGGGGGGGGGGCAGCTCTACGGGCGACAGGTCCTGGGGAGGGGGGGGGGGGGGCAGCTCTACGGTTCTGTGCGGCAGCTCTGACTGGTACAGGTGAGGCAGCGGGTGCAATTCTGTGCGGTTCTGTGCAGTTCAGTGCGGTTCTGCGCGGTTCTGTGCGGTGCTGTGCGGTTCTGCGGGGTGGAGAGTACCGGGTGGGGCGGCTGATTCCGGGTGAGGAGTCTGGAACGGGTGGGGCAGCAGCTCTGGCTGAAACGGGTGGGGCAGCGAGTGCGGTTCTGTGCGGTTCTGTGCAGTTCAGTGCGGTTCTGCGCGGTTCTGTGCGGTGCTGTGCGGTTCTGCGGGGTGGATAGTACCGGGTGGGGCGGCTGATTCCGGGTGAGGTGTCTGGAACGGGTGGGGCAGCAGCTCTGGCTGGAACGGGTGGGGCAGCGGGTGCGGTTCTGAGCGGTTTTGTGTAGTTCAGTGCGGTTCTGCGCGGTTGGGGAGTACCGGGTGGGGCGGTGTAAGTTGCTGGTTTTGCTAGGGGGTAGTTCAAGTTGCTGCTGGTGCGCTGACGGCAGTGGAAGCACCTTCAGCAGCTCCAGAACCTCCAGTGCCAGCACCTCCAGCACTAGCACCTCCAGCAGCTCCAGAACCTCCAGCGCCAGCACCTCCAGTACCAGCACCTCCAGCAGCTCCAGAACCTCCAGCGCCAACACCTCCAGTGCCAGCACCTCCAGCAGCTCCAGAACCTCCAGCGCCAGCACCTCCAGTACCAGCACCTCCAGCAGCTCCAGAACCTCCAGCGCCAGCACCTCCAGGACCTGCGCCACCAGCAGCAGCAACCCAAGAACCGGCACCTCCAGCCCCTGAGTCTCCAGCCTCAGTGTTTCCAGTAGCAGCACCCCCAGAACCAGTAGTACCTCCAGCCCCAGCAGCTCCAATACCTCCAGTATGAGCACCTCCAGGACCAGTGGCTCCAGTAACTCCAGTAGAAGCGCCTCCAGTAGCAAAGTCACCAGCTCCAGAGCCTCCAACGCCAGCGCCTCCCACAGCAGGGCCCCCAGCTCCAGTAGCGCGACCCTGACGGCTAACGTACCACTCACGCAGCTGCTGTGGGGAGAGAGGCACACGCCGACGGGAGTGCTGCGGCGAGGCACCAGCAAAGCGACTACGGAGGCGGCCACTCCAAGGAGACTGCTCACCAGGCGCCTCTGTGCCCCAAGGCGCAGCACCCCCAGACTCAGTACCCCCAGGCTCAGCACCCCCAGACTCCTCACGCCCAGGCTCAGCACCTCCAGGCTCCACACCCTCAGGCTCAGCACCCCCAGGCTCCTCACGCTCAGGCTCAACACCTCCAGGCTCTGCACCCTCAAGCTCAGCACCCCCAGGCTCCGCACCCCCAGGCTCAGCACCCCCAGAAGCAGCACCCCGAGCAGGACCACCCCTAGTAGGACCTGAGTCACCAGTGACCTCAACCGGCTCAGTCAAGGGAGCAGGGTCTACCTGAGACACACCTGAAGGAGCAGGACCTGGAGCGGGGAGGGGGTCTACCTGGGGAGGACCTGGAGCGAGAAAGAGCGGCGGGGGGGGGGGAGAGGGGCAGTGCGGTAGGGAAAGAGACGGTAAAAGGGGACCGACTCGTCAAAGGTGACGTCCTGAGACGCAAAGACACGGCGCGAGGCGGGGTCGTAAAACTGCCAGCCAGGCGCGTCAGGGACAAAGCCAAGGAAGACGCAAGGGAATGGCGCGAGGGGAGAGCTTGTCCGCAGTGGTATCGCGGACAAAGGCACGAGCACCCCAGACCCGGAATCGCGACGCATCGCCAACCTCCCCCGTCCAACGTAGTGTGGGCGAAGTCTCCGGCACGGAGACACGGGGCCAGAGGTTGAGCTGATGCGCGGCGTACCGGACCGCAAACGGCCACAGAAAATGGGGGGCAGC